GAGGGGGGGGGGCGAGAGGTCACAGCGGATGCGTGCGATAGGAAATCCAAGTGCAAAAACTACAGGGGCCCTCCTTCACCGGCGGCGAGCCAGGGGGTAAATGAGCAGGGGCGGGCCTTCCTAGAAGGCTCGGGAGTCCCCAGGCCTGGTGAGAAGTTTTCTGAGCCGCTCCCGCAGACGCAGAAAAAGTATCAGACTTCTGAAACCAAAAAAAAACGCCGCCTTCTGAGGAGGCCTTCTCCTTGTCACTTCCCTCCCTCGCTCGCCGCCGATCCTTCGCTGGACAGTCTCGTTTCTTCTGGGACCCCTGGACACTCCTCGAGCTTGCCCCGGGCCCCCGAGGGTCCTGTCGTCCACTTCGATCCTCTGCTGGGCCTGGAGCACCTGGTCGAGGTCGCGCGGGTTGAAGGTCCAGCCGAGCTCCCCGCTGAGCCACCTGCCCCTCGGCGCGCTCCGAGCACCCTCCTCTCCACTAAGATGAAGCCAGAATGAGGAGAAAATTCGGGTGAGGATGAATCAAGGAATCTCTGAGATCCAGCTGCTCTGAAGGATATCTCGGGCGCCGCGGCCTTCTCACAGGGTTCCGGAACGCTCTGGAACGGACTTATCCTCGTCCCAGCCCCGCCCGGTCCACCCTCCCCAGACGTTCGACAACGTGGTGCGCTTTTGGCGCGCCCGGGAGGCCTGGCAAGGTCCCCCGGACACCAAACGCGTACCAAAAGCCTTGCTTGGCGGCGAGCGAGGGGGGGGAAGTGAGAAGGAGAAGGACTTACCAAAGGCGCGGAAGTCTCCCAGCCTTCTGGGAAGCGTTCTAAGCCTTCCCCGAAGACATAGCCAGAAATCCCCTCACCAGGCTGGAGTGCTTCTGAGAAGTCCCGCCGCCTTCTGAGCATGCCTTCTCCTTCTCACTTCCCCCCTCCCTCGCCGCCGAGTCACCCCTGTTCCTGCCTGCTCCCACGGCAACCCTCCTCCCCGCTCCTGCTCCACGGGCGCCCGACGTCGCCTCTCTGCTCCAGCACGAGGACCCTGAAAGTCCCGACTCTTTCCCCGAGGCCACCGCGTACGGCCCCTGCGCCGCTCCCTGTACGGCCCCACGGCCAGGGAATGGGCCATCCCCACCTTGCGAGGTACGGTCACATCGTGTAGTAAGGACGGGTGGTAAGGACGTGAGACCCTTGAAGACCGAAGTTGGGAGTTGTTAGGCGGCGGGCGACCAGTGAAAACGGCAAAGGACGGGCCGCAGAGGCAAGGACACAAGGGTGCCCGAGATGAAGGCGCGCGTCCTTACTAGGCGCGTTGGCCGTAGGTCCGCCAGGTGGGGAAACGTGTATCCGATAGGCGTGGTGAGGATTGGTCTGTCGACGCTGGCTGGCCCAGATCCTGGCGTCGCACTACAATCTTGACGGCTGAAAGAAACGGGAGGACAACAAAAGAAGGGAAAGGGATGCAAAGAGTGGCAAGAGAGGGGAGGGAAGGGGAAGCCACACCCTCGAGGGGAGAACAAGCTGTGGAGGGAGGGGGGGGGGGGGGGGCAAAACATGATTGCTTCATGTCCCCCCGCCTTCCCCTCCATCGTCTGACATCCAGACATGTCGGTGGGGCGGGCTGGGCGTTTCGCCAGAGACCTCCGCCCCATCCATGACCCCAACCCTTGAACTTTCCAGCAATTGCACGGCTCTCGCCTCAGCGTCATGTACACTCGTGATAAACAGTCCCGGCGAATACACGGATGGGTTTTCAAACTGTTGTATTCGCCTTAGCGCCAAGCCCACCCGTGCTAAATAGTTCAACACTTAGCGCCAAGCGCATCCGTGCTAACTAATCTGACAGCTACAAGGACGATTGGAAGGATCGGATGTTGATATCGCCCCAGCGCCTCGCACACTTGTCTTGAAACGTCACATACAACTGTCAAGATGGAGAGCCAGTGGTGTTCAAACTAGGGCTCTCGCCGCAGCGCGGAGCGCATTTTGCTTAAACATAAGACATTCGCTTCAAGAGTGGAAGGCGGGTCCTTTTCAAAATGTGGCTCTTGGCTTTTCGCTGCGCACATTCGTCTTGCAACATGTCAGCCGTCAGCTACACGAGTGGGGGGCCGCTCCTCTCAAACATGTGGCTATCGCCCGAGCGTCGCCCACGTTCGTGTTATGCGCTTCCAACAATCATACGGATGGAACACATGCTGATTTCACGATGTGTCTCTAGCCTCAACGCTACGCATATTCGTCGTATCAGCTGACAGATAAGCATGTTTATGATACCTCTTCATGGCCAAAACTTAATACTTGTGCAACATCTCCACAATTGAAAACGGTTCCTTTTCAAATCTGGGCTCCCGCGTGAGACTTCCTTTGATTGAACTTACTGCCAGCCCAGAATTGATTCCCTCGACGAATCAATAAGAAAGACGTAGCATATTGATGGGCTGGACGAACACATCTGGGGTAAATCAATGCTGCAGTCGATCCACATCTCAAAATTGTGAGTACGATTCTCCTGACTGAGGGCACGTACGGTAGAGGGACACTACTCCTCTCCCCCAATCTGTAAGTTGACACGGGCGGAGGAGACTGCGGTCGAAGTGCGACTCATCAGACCCACAGCCAACTCTGAACATTGGGGAGAGGAAGAGATGTGGACCAATGAATGTGGCATGACTGCTCGCTATGTTTTCCAAGGCCTGTAGCTCTTCTTTGCAAATTAGGCTGTCCCCGAGAATTACTCGCTTGTGAAAGCAACCGGGGGGGGGGGGGCGCCTCGTCGGAAACAGGCCCGCTGCGTTCCTCGGCTCTCCCCCAGATTGCCCGGGGTTTACCCGGGTCTTGCCCGTGCAATGCCAAGCTCTCTGCAAGGCAATGCCAAGCCCTTCAAAGCAGTGCCAAGCAGCGCCAAGACAGGCCAAACAGTGCCAAACAACGCCGAACAAGGCCAAGAGCTGCCACGCAGTGCCAAGCAGTGCCAAGCAACGCCACGCAATGCCATGCAATGCAAAGGGATGCAAAGGATGCAAAGGAATTCCACGCAGCGATTGCAGGCAACGAAAGGCAATGCCAAGCAATGCCATGAAGTGCTAAGGCAAGACTCCGAGCAACGATTCCAGCCAATTCCAAGCAATGCCAAGGCGAAGCAGCACTAAGCAATGTAACGCAATGCGTAGCAATGTCAGCAATGTCATGCAAGGAATGCCAAGCAGCGCTTCTAAGAAATGCAGAGCAAAGCCTAGCAACGATTGCAGGCAATGCCGAGCAATGCCAAGTAACACATGCAAGCAATACCAAGCGATGCCACGCAACTATTCCAAACGATGCCAAGCAAGATCCCAAGCAATGCCAAGCAATACTTTGCATTGCATTGCTCAGAACTGTTTGAATGGCTATGGGGGGCTGGAGACCCCTAATTTGGGTCGCGTCCAGTTCAGTCACTTCCCGCTGGACACTTCTGTGGATGTCATGATCCCACCTCGCCGCCGACTTTTTCAGCGCCAGAAGCATGGAAGGCAGCTCCTTTCCAAAGTGAGGCTCTCGCCTGGATTGCAGGACCCTGGGGTCGCTCGTCTTTCCAAGGACTTCCTGGCACCGGCGCTGGACCCCCCTCTTGCCATCGCTCGGACGTCCACTCCCGGTGCATGCTTCGGTCTCGTGCGCGTTCTTGCTTGCACGGTGCTCCAGGGTGCTCATCCAGGGGTCCCCGCCGAGAAAAACATGTTTCTGCCTGCTCGGTGCCCCAGGGTGCTCCTCAAGGGGCCCCCGCCGAGAGATGCCGGGCCCTCCTTGGCGCGCGAGGCGCCGACCCGTGACAGACCCGGGGCCCGGCGCCCCGGCGAACACGCACGCTCGGTGCGGAGGAGCAGCCGCAGGGCCCGAGATCTCGGGGCAGCAAGTGGGGCGGTGTCCCCCGGGAGGCGGGTTCTGGGCGAAGAAGGAGCAATAGTCAAACAAGCATGCAGACATGATCCTACTAGGAGATTCGTCCCCACATGTTTTTGATGGACTGTTCTTGAAGAGCCATCCTGCAGAGGGGGACATGCCCGAGTTGATCATGCCATCTCCTGATTGACCAACCCAGAACCCCAAAGCCTCTTGGAGGGGACCTAAGTTCGGAGGGCCAAGAACATCAGGGATATGGGGGGCTTGTCTGCAGGTGTATCGAACCAAACCGCCCAAATCTGTAATCCCTGATGCAAGCAAAGACGGCGGCCTCAGCGGGGCCGCGTCTTCCTCGTGTTTTTAAGGTGAAGGGCCCTTTTGCCCTCGACGAATTCCCTCCTCCCCACCTCCCTCCCTCCTCCCTCCTCCCTCCTCCCTCTCTCCCTCCCTCCTCCCTCGCCCCCCGTCCTCCTCCCTCCTCCTCACCCGGGCTCAAGGCGAACCGGGCGGGGTGCTCGGCGGTGCACGCCAGTGCTCAAAACCCGTCCCTGGGTGCGGCTGCGCCTCACCTTGCCGTCGCTCGGACGTCCATTTCCTGTGCATTGTTCCGTTTCGTGCATGTTTTTTTTCCTCGATGGTCCAGGATGGTCCTCGTGGTTTCTCGCCGAGAAAAAATGCACACGTCCAAGCGTTGCCAAGTCACAGTCCAACCGCCTGGGGACCCCCCACCCCCAAAAACAGGGGAGACGTGAGAGTCGACTACGTCCGTAGCCATTCTGGCTCAAGTTCAAAACCTTGCCCTGAGGCTTGGAGCTTGGGCGCTGCCAGGGGGGCAGGCTCGAGGGCCCGCCCACTGGTCGACAGGTGACCGCCGCGCGTGCGTCGGCGGGGGATGTGATATATTGTGTGCTTATCTTGCCGCGATGCTGGGGAAGTCTCTTGGATACCCGACACCAGCGCCCGACGCCATTGCAAGTTTTGCCAATCCTTGTTTCCTTGTCGTTCCCCCAAAGGACAGGCTCCAGGAAGCACGCAAGAGGCAAGGCCCGTAAGGCCCACCCGTCAAGAGGCAAAACAGGAAGAGCGACTGGTCCCGAGCCGCCATCGCCTGTTCCGCCCCCTGCTTCGTCCAACACATCCACCCCACCCTTTCGTACCTTGGACGAGCGTCTCGAGGCACCTTTGAATGAGGAGGTTCAGGAACGGTTGGGGGATGATTGTGGTGATGATGGTCTTGGCGCTGATAGTGGCAATCGTGGTTTCTGGGCTGCTTATCGTGGCGGGATCGGTGACGACTACGATGATGACCGCGGCTTTGGCGTCGATGCTAACGGCAATGAGCGTATGCTTGCGGATCTTGGTATGACCATGCACACTCTGCAGAACCAGTTGGGTGCGTGTAGGACCCTCCCACGGACCAAGCACGTGCTGTCACGAATTGCAGGCCTGCAGGCTGAATTGTAGTCTCTTCGTGCTCAGAATGCTGAGATGCTCACCGTCCCCCAGTAGCGTGCGTCATAGAAGCAACGCCATCACTGGGCCAATGAGAAATATGCCAAGCTCACTGATC